TCTTCATAATCCCGCCTGTCCCTGACTATTTTTGATCTTTTCCTTCTCATGCACGTTCATGATCTTAGAGTGTGGCATTGAGGAAGGGCACAGGAGCAGTTTGACACACATCCTTACAGATTCCTTAGAGAGAGAATCTCGTGTGTGTGTGATTATTAGGAATAGAATAGAAATACATAAAATTATTTATGCAGAATGTGAAACATACATCTTTGTTCAGAGATACATTTCCTTATAACAGAGAGTTGCAAGGTACCTGCCACTTAACCACATCAAAGGCTCTGAATCAGCCCCCTAACCTGGTAGGGGTGCTATAGCTGTACCCCAAATGGTGCTAGTCACATACCTGCATGTGTGTGTCCTTGAAAATGGCAGTGCTCTTTGAAAGCAGTGTCCTAGTCTTCAGTAAGGCTGCTGACACTGGGCTTGTCCTTTTGTAGTCACTCAGTAAATGTGTGTAGAATAGGTCAGCTCACCTAAACAAAGCCTGGGAGAGATTTCCGTAGCCTCTACCTTACATACTTCTTGTTTCCCTAGACTGCAGGAAAACCCTCAGTGAAACCAGGGTTTTAAGTCCAGGGTGAACGATCTCAAGAAATAGACTGGTCCTGAAATAGATGATTTGGCGTGTTGTACAGTTTCTACTAAATTGACAGGGAATATGAGGTTTCTAGAGTGAGTTGGAGCAACTCATCGTCATAACTGATGAGCTATAAATAACTTCCTCTTGTTAGGAAAAGCTCCCATCTTTGTTTCTTCTCCGGGAGTGTTGTGGTGGGGAAACTGGACCAGGCAGGCAGGCCCAGGCACCTGCTCCAGACCAGCCTCCCCATCAGCCATCACTGGAAGTGCAGAGAAGTGCTGACCAGAGGATTTCTGGTGCTAAGCTCAGCTCTTTATCCCACCGCAAGGATGACCTGTCTCCTATTTACCCACCACTGGGACAGTTTTCCTGTGTCTCTAGCTGGCCTCGGCCTCTTGGGCACCTTTCTGTTCCTTTAGTGCCTTCAGTTCAGGCCCCTTAGATAAGATTTCGACAGGGTGAGGACATTGTGGGAATATGCTCTCAGACAAAGCAGTATGAAATGTGGGCATTGTTTTCACCTACTAAAGCCGCTAATAATGGCCAAGGTGTGTTTTGTCTTTGATATCTATCTTTCATCCAAGCAGTGGGTACTCAGATTTTGCAGTTGCTGCTGCTGGACATTTGTTGAATTCTGTTTACAAGTCTCCTAGCCTTTGGAGAGTCCTGTGAGAAGGACACAGGGTGACGAGGTCAAGGCTCCTATCTGCCGGAAGCTGAGCAGCAGCTGAGAGGAGAAATGAGCAGCTCACTGATAGCCATGTTACTAGGCAGGATTACTGGGTATCATGGCAAGCTGATGTTTTAGGAGAAGAAAGAAAGAACTCAGTTATTAGCTGAAGTGATTAAAGAAGCTTTGATGGAGGAGGTAACATTTAAGCTTCGTTTTTAAGCAAAGGTGGTTTTCCAGAAGGTTCAGATGGAATCAGATTGAGGAATTTCAGGAGAGGAGAAACAAGTATGGGAATTACTAAGGGTTAGAGGGTATGTGAGGTGTGTTCAGGGCATAGAGAAAGATCAGCAACAGGAGACCACAGCCTATTAGACTGTGACTTGTAGGTGGCTGCTTATTACTTGGACCCCATGAAGAGATCCATGAAGGGCCTTGTGGGGTTTGAGCTCAGAGCGTGCCCTGACCTGCCTCTGTCTGTGAGTGCTTCCTTGAAGGCATTCCAAGCCTGACACTCTGCTGTTTGGAAATCTTGCGTACGGAGAGTATTGTCCGAGAGTAATCAGAGACCTATGTCTGTTAAACTAATTCCGCCTCTGTCCTCAGAGCGCCTTAGGGCTTCCAGTCTTGACCGCTCAGCAGATTTTACAGTGTCTGAATTATTCATGGAGATGATAAGGAAGAGGAGGCTCTACCTGGAGCAGGTCTTGGAGGGTGGCATTATAGGAAGAGAGGCAGCTGCTTGGAATGATGGACGAAACAATTCTTCAAGAGGAACTCTACCCAGATGCGAGCCTGTGCCAATATGCCCAGAAAATCACAGCCTGCTTTGGAGGGATGGGTAAGACCCCACCAACCCCACTCCAGACATTGGGCTTGCAGAGGAGGTGCCCAGGGTGGAGGATGTGGAGGACAGATGGACTAGCGTGGCTCGTGGCAGGGAGTAGCCGTAGCTTCTGGAGCAAGAGAGCCTCAAGTGGGCCTAGGGGCTGGAATCTGGAAGCTTGGTTGGGCGCCTCCATCTGAGCTCTTCCGTGCAGAACACAGTGGGCTCCCAGCCTCGTCTGTGCTCTGCTCAGCAGCACAGATCAGCATGGCTGCTGTGAACCACTGCAGGTGCTTTCGAAGGGCTTGCTGGGCTCCTTGGTTTGCTCATGTCTGATTGGAAAACAAAGCCAAACAAAACAGACAGCAACAGCAAAAACCCGAAACTGAGAAGCAAGTAACTCCATTATGATTAATAAAGCCACAGGCTGGCTGTAACTTCAGACAGTTTCCTTAGAAAACTAATTCAGTCCAGATTCACAATTTGAGGTGGTTTTCCATCGTAAATTGCTTTTGTTTCACTTTAAAAGCGAGGCGCTCTGATAGATGTTAGCAGACGAAGGCTAGGGAAGACAGGTACCTGGCTGATATAAGACCTCAGTCAGGACAGAGACTAATAAAGACTGCAGCGTTCACTGTGGAGAACGGCTCTAGGGCTCAGCCTACACCTGGTAGATCCACAGCAGCGGCTAAGACATCCCACCACCCCCAACCCAGCAGCACCAAAGCTCCTGGTGCTGGGCAGGCTTCACCTCTTGAGACATGTGCCAAGGCAGGGTGCTCAGGGCCTCACGGGGCAGGACCCTGTGAATTTGCCTGTGAGGGTTTCTGTGCATTGTTTATTGCAGAAGAAAACCTTAACTTAGGTGCAGTTGAACTGAGTTTGACAGGATTAGGACTTTCCTGTCTGAATGGCTCCGCTGGCCATCCGAAGTCTTAGGTGAAAGTTAAGCATCTCTCTCTGGCTTTGCACTTTACACTGTGACCCTTAGTCATACGAACATATGGCCCGTTATGGGAGCCACCACTCTCCTTGTCCTCTGTGTTGACTCTAATGTCACATGGGGCTGGGGCCGGAGGCTCGTGTCTGTGCAGCTTTGGAAGAAACTGTGGGCACTGGAGCATCATGGGCCCTCCCCATTCAGTGCTTCCATTGCTGTGGAAAGGGTCCTGTCAGGCAGGTACTCCTAAAAATACATGGTTAAATCAAGAGGCTTGACCTCTGCCGTGTGTTTTCCCTGACCTATGCGGGGAAAATTCAATGAAGAACTTTGGGCTCCTTGTCAAAAGGAACTGAACTCATGAGTGTCCACAAGCATGCTCCAGCCCCGAAGCTGCCAGTATCTGAACCCTTACATTGCTCCACACCTGCAGAGGATCAGCCTCCTCCCATTTATAACCATCTGGATGTGATTGCTTTCTTCTTCTTGTTGGTGTTAAGTGCTGTGGAGTCAGTTCTAACTCATAGTGACGCTATATAGGGTTTCCGAGGAGCAGGTGGTGCGTTTGAACTGCCGAATTTGTGGTTAGCCGTCCAGTGGTGATCCTACAGCGTCACACCAAGAATCTGTCACACTGCTGTTGTTCAGTGCTATTGAATCCGTTTTTACTCACAGCGACTCTGTATAGGGATTCGGAGGAATGACTGGTGGTTTTGAACCACTACCTTGTGGTAAGCAGCCCAGTGCTTATATTGTTGTTGGTGTTAAGTGCCGTTGAGTTGGTTCTGACTCATAGAGACCTGTATAGGGTTTCTGAGGAGCGGTTGGTGGGTTTGAGGCGCCGACCTTGTCGTCTAGCGCTTTATCCTCCAGTGCCACACCAGTACTCCATGCTTTTGTTAGCACCCCAATTACCTAAGGATTCTGCTCATTTGTAATTTTGTGAAAACCCACCGCTTCCTCCCCTACAGTCCTGTGGTCTCCATCATGTGATTTTGCGAGAGATTCTACAATAGCAGAAAACCTACAAGATGACATTAAGAATATTGTTAGAATTGGATTAATGGAATGAAACGGAAAGATTTTCATGGCACTCCGGGGTGGATCTCTCAGTAGAAAATGAAAAAGAAAAGATTATTTACTATGGTCTGGAGCTGGTTTCATTGACCACTGAAGTTGAGGACATTTAATTGAGACGTCTGCTCTGTGAGATCTGAAATACTGGAGAACTTAGATCCTGAGTTTTCTCTAGTACACCTTCGGTGGCATACTATATATGTGTATGCCTAGACATACTCCAAGGAGCTCTGGTAGCATAGTGGTTACGAATCGGGCTGTGAACCTTAAGGTCAGTGGTTCGAAACTACCAGCCGCTCCGTGGGAGAAAGATGAGGCTTTCTACTCCCATAAAGATTTACACCCTCGGAAACCCTGTACAGGGTCGCTATGGGTCAGAACCGACTCGACGGCACTTAACAACAACAACAGACATACTCCAAGATACACTTTTACTAGATGACATTAAATACACTAGGAATATTGGGAGGCAAATGCTCTTAGATTTATTTGGCAGCTATATCCTTCCTCTTGCTGGATATGAATTTAATTTTTGAATATGCATTCATGTCTCAGGAGTCCTGGTGTGGTGCTGTAGGACAATCACTGGACTGCTAACCATAGGTTAGCAGTGGAAACCCTGTACAGGGTTACTGTGCGTTAGAACCAACTCAATGGCATGTAACAGCATCAACATTCATATCTCAGACCGACATAGACTTGCGTTCCTGCCAGTGGCTGTCCATATGTCTGATCATTTGAGTACTTGGAGCCCTAAGCTCTTGAGAGTAATCACGTTATTTACGTGATCTCCCTAATCTGCTTTGCTGGGCACTGAGAACAAACAAGAAGGAATCAGGAGAGTGGAGAGGTAGCTGTGGGGAGGCACAGCTTCTTGCATCTCCACTGTGTGATCCACGCCGCAATGCCGTCCTTCTCTGGCTGGACGTGTCTGGGGAGATTGTGCGACTCTGAGAGAAGCAAGGTGACATCATCTGGAAGAACCAGCCCCAGGAGCTCGTGCAGATGGAGACTGGTTGTTGAGGACCAGGACAGGAGTGTCACCGGAGCCCCTTACCCCACTCACAGGCGGGCCGTCATCACCTATTCGTTGTACTTGTGCATTGAGGACCACTGCCCATGTGAACACATATTGAACAGCTTTGATCCTCTGGGTGAGTGGTGAGGGAAAGAACTCACTGTAGACACAGTTTTAGGTTTTATGGCTGAGGAACAAGGAATAAGGCAGTGGAGGTTCAGAGGCAGAATTCTCTCCTGGCTACAATTCCCAGCCAGTGTATCACTTCTTGCACATCCACCAGCTGTCTGTCAGTGGAGCACTGGATGTTGTTGTGTTGCTGAACACGTTTCAGTGGAGGATCCAGACTAAGAGACTAGGAAGAAAGACCTGGCCATCTACTTTAGAAAATCAGCCCTTGAGACCCTGATGGGTCACAGTGATCTGATCCACTCCGATCATGGGGATGGTGCAGGACTAGGCAGCATTGTGTTCACTTGTGTGGGGGGGCCACCGTGAGTTAGGGGCCAAGTTAATAGCAGTTAACAGTAACAACAAAATACCATTTAGAACCATGCTTTTATAATGTGCTCATCAAAGGAAATATCATACTTAATATGTAACTAGTGAGGGGCCACTGAGTAGTTTGGAAAATGTAATGTAGTCCATACTTATGGAGCTGAATTCGAAGGGCATTTTTATCCCGGATGTTATGATCTCAGTAACAAACCTGTCTCTGTCCAAACTTGGTATGAATGACCATCTGTAATTGGAAATACAATGGAAAAGAAAGATCTCTGGTCCTAGAAACTGTTGTTTCTGCTGATAAAGGATAAATAAGGAAGAAATACACACTAGCATATTCTGATCTAAATAAAGTTGTGGTCCACATCGTAAGACAGGGCTCATCCTGGGAAATACTTAAAAAAAAAAATCAAAGCCCAACCCATTGCTGTAGTCAGTTCCGACTCGTGTGGCATTTCTGAGGCTGTCAGTCTCTCTCCTGAGGAACAGCTGGTAGGTTTGAACTGCCAACCTTGTGGTTGGCAGTCCAGTGCTTATCCTACAATGCCATGCTAGGGCTCCCCTGAAAAATAAAAGGAGATTTATGGTATTGTTGAATTTATCAAGGCTCCCTTTCAGAGAAGCTTATTAAAATGTGGGCACTCATCCATTTGTCTGAGAAGAGATGGAAAGAGCTCAGACTGAGCATAGTCACCTCACTTTGAAATGATAATGTTGCCTTTATTAAGGAAGATGACACCCACCCAGTTGACCATTCTGTATGTAAATTAGTTCTAGAATTAGCACAGGACATAGATGACTATCAGGTATGGTCCCTGTAAACATATATAAAGATGTCACATGACCCAGAGAGCATCATACAGACTTGATGATTAGTGGGCCACTAGAGAGGATGGCTCGGGCTGCAAACCGCAAGATGAGCAGCTTGAAACTACCAGCTGTTCCGCAGGAGAAAGATGAGGCATTCTGCTCCCGTAAAGATTTACAGCCTTGGAAACCCTGTACAGGGACGCTATGAGTCGGAACCTACTTCACAGCACACAGCAGCAGCAGCAGAAAGGATGGCAGAGTTGAGTTAGGCCAGGTGAGAGTTAACCTAGATGAAGTGTTGGCTGGGAGGGGCTGACTAGCTAAGGCAGAACAGGGCACAGATTCCAGCAGATGCCCATGGTGACGGCTCTTTGGTCTTATTCTCTACCTGTCTTCACCTCACTTCTCCAGGCTCTTCCTTCTAGGGAGCAAGCAGTAGGGTTAGCAAAACCCTGGATGCTGCTGTCTGATCCCAGACCTCATAACAAACTAGAAAGACCATCAAAACTGACCCAATTTACTGCAGTTAGGGGTACCTCCCTCCAGTTTCAGAGTCACAAGCTGTTTCAGAGTACCTCGAATCCCCTTGTGGAGACAAAAAAATGTAAAGATTTATTCTACAAATAGGGATAAAAATCTTCACGTGTAGATTTCTGATGGAGCTAATACTTAAATGTGACAAGTTCCGTGCTTCGG